CGCTTAAAAAGAACAAAAATATTTTATTTTAGAAAAGTATTTTAAAGAAAAAAATTGCAATACAATTTTTTATAAGTATGTAACTTCCACATACTATTTAATGTAAAGTTGTAATCAATTAGTGTTAGTAGTGAATAAATTATATTAAAATTATTATTACACCTTATTAATGTAAAATGTAACGGTTCTACATTAATTGAAAAAATAAGCAGGAAAATGAATGGAGGTTTTATTAAATGTTTTATTAAATTCTATATGCCAACAATTATATATATATATATATATATATAGATTATATTTCTCTAACTAAGAGTTCAATAATATATACAACCGACAATGTTGAATAATGTTGTTAACTTTTTTTTTCTTATTTTAGTTTTATACTTAAAATTTTATTCTATATTTAAACAAAATAGAGAGAACATAAATAACCTAACTTTCATTTTAAATCACATTTTAATTTTTTTATTGATTAAAAAAAAATAATGTGCATAACAAACAACAATAAAATAAATTTCTTTTTTTTTAAAAAAAAACGGAAATAAAAATAATCCAATAGATAATTCACTTCAAATAACAATAAATATTTTTAATGAGTACAATGTTACTTGTTAGGCTCAATATTGACCCAGTAATTTAAGCAAGGAAACATATCTCACATACGAAATACAAGTAAAAAAGGTGTGTTATTTAAATCACTTCACTATCTACCAAGTTCAAATTCATATGTTTGAATCGGTAAACCATTTGAACCGGTCCCGGTTCACCGGTTCAACAGGTTTTAGACTAGTTCGAACGATTCTTGACCGGTTTTTCTGCATATATAGCAGTTTGAAAGCTCAAATCAGACCGAAATGAAGGCATGTCTCTGGTCCAACCGGTTGAACCGGCCTAGTCCCCTAGACTATTTTCAGAACATAACTTCTTTAGCTAACTCTTTAAAGCTTTCATTTTCTTTCGTAACACGAAAGTTATGTTTGTTAAAATTATCTGATAATTTATAAGTTAATTTTGAACATATAGCTTAAAACTTATGACTTATGGCTTAAAAACTAGCTGATATATATAATAAATGTGTTTGGTAAAATTAGTTGATATATCGATTGAAATGAAAATTTCAACGAAAATATTTAAAAAGCTGTCCAAAGAAACTTATGATATAAGATCGAGCTTTTGAAAAAGTTCTTCATACCAAATCAAGTTTATTTGTTTACAGAAAATTTATAAGCCAATCAAATCAGTTGTAAATTTATTATGCATGCCAAAAATATACACTTTAACGGAAATTCGGAAGTGTTGGCAATCTTATCGTATACTACCATCAAACGGCAACATTTGTTGATAAAATAAACATTCATAATACATAACAATAAATAAGTAGAAAATGAAAAATATTGTATGCTCATCTTATTATTACAATGATATAATTGAACACGATGGCATAAGCTGGAAGTTCAATCCAATGCACCAAATATTGTCTATTCATGTCAGTATGTGCATGCCAATATTCGATGGTTTATTTAATTAATACGGCATCTAAATGGCATAATTAGTTATAATTTAGTTACAATAAAATAAAATAAAATAAAATAAAATAATTAGTTATACAATAAAATAAAATAAAATAAAATCTTGGATAGAAATTAATTTCCACTGACCATTATTCCTAGTGTCAACACCACCAATTATTTTATTCGGAATAATTGCACTAAGCAACAAAAACGTCTAAGTTGGCAAGATTTGTTATTTGACCTTAAATGTTCATTGCCTCTAGACGCGGCGAAAAGGCAACGCGGGGAGGATCCATAGCCACCTTAGGTGGGGCCTAGGCCTAACCTGAAATTCTACATTTTTTATTGCACAACTTTAGTAATATACAATATTTTTAAAAAAATAAATATAAATAGAGTAATTTTACAATAAAAATTCATAAATGAAGTTTTTTAATAAGCATTTTTATTCTTGTTTCTGGTACTAAATTCGGCTTATTATAATGTTTTATTTATCGATAGTTTTTTAAATAAATCTATCATCGCTTTGCATAATACTATATTATACTAGAAAAGTATTGTCAATGTAATTTAGTGTCAACTATTAAATCAACTAAGAGGTTGGATTATATTATTTTTTTTATTCAACATATTGAAAAATATCAGTGTTTTTTTACTCGCAACGAGTACAATTTAATATGTGCATTGATATTATAGAAAATTAACATACATTGTATGACGCGATTGAAGAACCATGAGATCTTGACATATTACATATACATGACTTAATATGTTTGTGGTGGTGGATGAATATTTTTGTTTTGATGATAACACATTTTAAGTCACCAGAATGACAAATAATACCGAAAGTTTACGAAATATGAATGATATTGTATGGTATTTTCATATTTCATTTTGAATTATTTTTGAAAAATCAGAACTTATATAATATTATCTTTTATATTTTATTTATTTCTTTTGTGTGTTTAATTAACAAAAAGTTTGATCCCACCTCATTCCATTCGTTGGATCCGCCCATTTACTCCCGCTAGGCTTCAAAACATCAGCTTGAAATCGGCCCGACTACATATAAGGGCCGGTTCATTGAATCGCCATTTTTTTAAATTATAAAAGGACTTTATTTGAAAATATTAAAAAAAAACAAAAGAACCTAACGTCAAACAAAACGGTGATGCTGGAGTCGTGTCCTGCAGATCTTGCTGCGGCATTCAACTTGTTACGTTGTTACGATCTGACATCAATGGCGAACCGAGATTGAACAATTCTCCTGAATATCGGTCATATGCTTTTTCAAGCTCATGATTCCTTTCTGAAATGGTGAACAATTGTTTAATCCATTACATCTACCAATTATTCGTTTTCAATTATGAACAATTCCAAAAACTGCAGGTGAGATGTAATGATTAGTATAGTTCAAAAGATATTTTATCATGTTAATCTGTTGCTCTCTGAACTGCATCCATTTAATTGTTACAGTTCTTAGACATGATAATCGGCATTTAGGCACTTAATTCGTTGAAGCTGGGACTACTGACGACCCTTTCCCTGGTTGAGCATGAACATGAGAAAGGATGGTCACCAATCCCGGCTTCCAACAATCGAGCCTAAATGCCCATTATTATGTCTAACAACTATATATATGTATTTAAACATTTATATGTATATATATGTTTAAAAACACATTTAATTTATTTCAAAAATATATATATATATATATTTAGACGTATATATTATTTATTATATTCAATAAATATATTTAAAAATATATAAATATATTTAAATATTTATAACTAATTTTTAAAAACGAATACCGAATTGAATATATTCGACTATCTTAATCGAATAGAATGCGAAACACAAAATAAATTCAATAATGAATAGAATACGATACGAAGAGTCTAATATTCGTTAAATACTCTAGTCAACACCCAATTTCACAAGCAAAAAAAAAAAAAAAAAAAACACATCATGGTCAACAGCTGCCTCAGCCGCCCGCTGCCGATGTACGCAACCGCCTGCCAATCACCTCCAATCGGAAATTTCTCTATATCATCTTGAAGTTCTTCTCGTCATCGTTCATCTTCTAAAATTTCAAATGAAAACTCCACCGGTAAGGCTATCAATTGCTCCGGTCAAAGTTTTTAAATCCATCAAATTTTGGTCAAAATTCGTTCTTCTTCTTCGATTTTCCGGTGATTTACAATGATCCACCGAAATCCGTGGACACTTTCGAACTCGAGCGCCTCCGCGCATCATGATAGCCAAGATTATTTGAAAAGAAAAATGAATGAGTGAACAAACAAAGAACATTTGTTTTTTTTTTTTTTAAAGGTGAAGAGAAAATAAATATCATTTGAAGAACATTTTCTTAGTTCATGAATAAAAATAAATTTGAGTTCGAGAAATGAAATGAAGTACAAGTATGACTGAACAAACAAAAAATTTCTTTCAAACATTATGAATTTGATATTGCTATTTCAAGTGTCGATTTTCTTTTCTTTTCTTTTCTTTCTTTTTTGTTTTACAAATCGTCATCGTTTGAAGGAGAATTCTTCATTATTTTTGAGGAGAAGATAAATTAGAGTTCATAAAAAAAAATCGCAACAAAAACACCCAGAAAAAAAAGATCGAAGATTTTTTGCGTTTGAATGTTAGATAAGTTATATGTAATTTAGAAATATTTGATGGTTTAATTGAGATATGTAATTATGTCTAGAGTCAAAGACCTTTTTTTTCTTTTTTT